TCAAGCATGGAGCCAACCACCCCACTGACACCCACACCTCCCAGGTCTGGCTGAGATCTGCAAAGGCACTTTAGCCCCCCTCCTCCGCAGCGGCGGGGTGGTGGGGGCGGGGTGGGAGTTCTATGGCGGCAGGGCCCAGTGTGACTCACAGCTGGCAGGCTGCTGGCCCCGCGTTATTTTGAGATCCGGCTCTGTGATGGCTGCTGTGACAGCTTTGTTCTCTCAGGTCCCTTTGATTGGTGAATCTCCCTTTGTGGCTGGTGGGGGATGCTCAGGCCCTGCTGTTTCTGGGCTCCGGCATCCCCTTGGCTGGACAACCAGGCTGGCGGCAGCAGGGGTGGCAGACAGAAGGCGGGAGCAGCGCAACCTGAGGCTGAGCAGCTTCTGGCTGAAGTAGCTGGGATTCACTTCCAGGCAGTGTGGGGCTGGCTGGGTGGTCGTGGAAGAATGCTAAGTGCCTGCTCAGAGCTCGTTATGAATGGCCGGTCACAGACCAGACCACAGGGTGGACAAGGCTGCCCCGCTGTGCTTGGGCTGGGGCCCAGAGTTCTCTGTGGTGTCTGTGAGGCTCGGGGCAAACCCTAGAGAAATAGCCCAGGGCTCAGGGCAGCCAGCCCTTGGGAAAGAGCATGGGGGCCTAGGAGGGCTCCTCACCAGAAAAGACTCGAGGCCTGTCAGGCAAGGTCTGTGGGCCCCAGTTTGTGGCACTTAACTTCAAGGCAGGCACAGTTGCAGAGAAGAAAGCTTAGAGACAAAGACAGCTGGGTTCAATCTCAGCTTGGCTCCTGGCTGATGCTAAGACCTGAGCCAGCTACTCAACCTTTAACTGCTAATCTCTGAGTGCGAAGGCTTAACTGAGCTGTAACACATACAGATGTGCCCTGCACTGTATTTGTTTGGTAAGTGTAGTCACACACACACACACACACACACACACCCATCCCAGCTGCCGCTTTCTGCTTCCTTCTTTGGTCCATGGGGCAGAGATGGCTTGTTCTCAGTTGCTGCCTGGCCAGGTGTCCCCTCCATCCTCATGGCCCATGAATTCTCCCTGAGACTGATGGCCAAGTGAACGAGGGCTAGTTTCCCCTGGAATGGGGGCGGCTGAATTCAGCACATACCTCCTCATTGCTGACTCCCAGGCTCAGCAGACACTTGTGTCAACAGGACCTTGTTTAGCTGCTGAAAATTTTATGGTCACAGGTAGCTCCCTGGGCAAAGCCTCCTGCGGGAGAGGGGAGTGCAGACCCCAGTTCAAGGCTTGCTGAATGAAAGGAGAAGGAGGGACCCAAGGAGCTTCGCAGAGCAGCAAGGTGTAGCTTGCCCTGGAGTTCCAGGTCAGCCCCAAGGGCTGCACTCCTGCAGGAGATGGCAGGAGAGTCTGTTCTTGCGATGCACATGTCTGGGCTGGAAGAGGTCTCCTGTCATCCTGCTGAAGCCCCCAAGGTGATGGACATCACACTGATGGCTCCAGCACCGCTCCCTTCCCCGTGGGCTGCTGGAAGTACCAACCAGACTCCTGGGGGAGTAATCCCGCCCCTGCGGCTCACAGCATTGCACCTGTCCCCCTGCCTGGGGCCACACAACACGGGTCTCTCCCTGTTTCTTGAAAAGAGCCAAGGAAACTTGAAAGCTTCCACTATCTTCTC